ACCTCTCACTGCCTTAGGAGAGGCAATTCCTGCTTCTCTGTGAGAATTCACTTGACGCAGCGCCCAGTGTAGCTGCCTGAATCAGCGCAGGCTGCTCGGAGGCTGCGGAGAACCTGGAAGGTCGGGAACCAATCAAGGAACTGCTGCCGTGACGGCACCGACACCAACGCAACAATCCCAGTCCCTGTGTCCCCGGGTGGAACCGGGTCTGTGCACAGGTAGGAATCAGTGAGGTGTCAGAGCCTGCCTCAAGTTCAGTGCAGGTTATGTGCAGTCAAATTTAGCTTCCAATTCTCGTTAGGGACACACGAGTAGCAGAAGTAATGTGCTGGGGTAATGGTTTATCACCTGGTCAGCAGCAAGTAATCAGTGTTGCCTGCATTTACAGTCATACCACAATGGTACAATCAACACATGATCCCTCAGAAAAACAAGACAAAACACTCCAAATTATGCAGTGTGGAAGAACTAATCTCAGTGTAGTTCCCTTGAAAAGTAAACATTAAAAATTCATTAAGCTTAAGAACTAATGTGTATTTTGTATAACTGACTTTAACGCAAAGTCCTTAAATTCTTACTCAGCCTATTTGTTATCTAAAGTACATGTGTATACATTTACAAACCCAGATGTAAAAATAGGTGCCGTTTATATACAATTTGCATAATGTGTTACTTAGTAAATTAAAATCCAGACATATTTATATGCACATGTACATACCCCGGCTGTGTCCTCTGTGATTCTGGCAGAATAGAATATTTGTTTTATGCCCAGTGAAACCTGAACAGAACTCATTCACCTTTAAGCTGTTTTACATAATTACTCTAGGAAAACATATATAGCATAGTGTCTTTAGAAAGTGTTGTAGTTCTTCAGTGAAAAAAGCACAATTAGTAGATCACTCATTACTCGTCCACACAGCTGTACAGGCTGCAAATGGTTGTTTCAGAAGACTGTTATCACATCCTATATTTCTGCTTAGCGTTCTCTTTCAGAATACAGATGTGCTAAAAGACAAGAAATACTTTAGTCAATCTTTACCTTCAAAGGAAATGCAAGACTGATTTTCAGTTGTGTACTAGAATTGTAATGAAAACACACCAGAACTGTAATCGTTACAAGTTTACTACTTGTAGTCAACTTGAGGTGTTAACACTCCAAGGTTATCTGTAATATAGAGATTTATATATTCTGAAGTCAGCTTTGTTCAGTTATTGTATCCTCCTTCCTGCTTCTGTGCAATAGCACAGATTGTGTCTTTAAGAGAACTGGTTTGTTTCAAGTGAAAAAGATTTCCACTTAGCCAGATTTAAGAAAGTACTTTTGAAAACAAAAGAGGGATAAAAAGATCAGCTCTTTCTATCAGTTAATACTCTGTTCCAGCCTACTACTTGGTGCAGCCCAAGGAGACCGTAATGGAACAAAGTAAGAGAGATCTTAATTGACACGTTATACAGTGCAGGAAAAGCCTTCATGCATTGTCCACACACAGCATCTTAAAGACTTGGCTAGAATAGAGCAACATAACATTGCACTAAGACAAGCATCACATTAAAGTCAAATTACAAGTTCCTTTTTTTCAGATGGGACCTGCAGACTGTATGCCTTATAGTTAGATTTGAAGTTTTCTTAATTGTTGAGAAGCTCCAAGCAGCAGCAAATGTTGTTGCTGGTTCCCTGTTGGTAGCAGCAGTCACACCTAACGGTGGAGGCACACACATGTACTTACATTTAGATCTCTGAAGTATTCATTATAGTCAAGAGCATATCCAACCACGAATGTATCTGGAATTTCAAAGCCTGTATCTGTAAGAAAACACAGTTCATTTTTTACATGGGTGCTGTAAATAGCTTTTAAGTGTTCAGTTTGTATTCAACACATGCTGGAGCTGAGAGTAATAGTTCACAAACACATCATCTCACTTTCACAGCACCAAATATGCTTCCTTAAGAATCAGATCTGTAAGCTGATGACAGAGGTTAGAATCTAAACTGTCCCTATCAGTGAGCAATACAATCAAAGAGAATGACTTTTATGACCAAAATAATTATTAAAATGGAGTTATGGGAGAGAAGACAAGGAGTAAGATTTTACTTGTGTAAAAGTAGGTGAACTGCGGCTCAGTAGGACTTTTCAATTTGCAAACAAGGCAAATTTCATACAGAGTCAAAACAAATGCCCTCTAGGCTGAAAGCCAGATGATACACAGTTAAGGTTTGATTCTGTTTCTGGTATCTAAATAGCTAAATTTATCTATCAAATAGATAAACCTGTGCTCAGACCAACCAGGGGAAACACAGAAGGTGGTCAGGGTCTCAGGATGGGGTAGCTGGTCATCAGCTGACAAGTTTTCATGTATTTTATCCCTGTTTCTCTTGGCCTTCCTGAAATTTCTATGCCAATTGTCAGATGTGCATTGTGAAGTGAAATGATAAGACTGTTTCAGGCAACCAGAAAAACACAATACTCACAATCTGGTCTGTAACCTGGGCTTCCACATGTCCTTTTAACCAGCAGGCTGTAAGGCAGAACAGAGAAGGTTGGTTTTTAAAATATGTCTAGCTCTAAGCTGTAGAGTTCACTTCTCCCACCCCTTCCCATAAGCGTCTACAATCATGCAGTTCAATTAAAACAGTGAGATTGTCGTAACAGAAGGAGGTAGTGTTCAGCCTTGTAATGGAGGGAGAAGCAAAGGCTCTGATCTAGGTTCATCCTGACGGTCCCACTGGCTCTGTTGTTTTCCATTCAGTTCCCTGCAGTTCTGTGTCCCAGATCCTTATCTTTCCATGTAGCAATGCCTCAGCAAACTAGAACAGCACAGAGAGGGAAGCAAGTGGCAGGTGATGATTTTAGAGGGAAGGGAGGCAGAAGAGGACAAACTGTGCAATATCACTACAATTTCTTCCACAAAGTCACATCCATTCTTGGTTTCCCTGTGCAGGTGGGAAGAAACTGAGTACCTCCTGGACAGTCACTCAGCGGAGCATAACTGGCACATAAACCAAGAAGTGTTTTTTTCAAAGCATCGTTGATGACTTGGCAACCACAGGGATGTTCCCCAAAACATCCTTTTAGAGATCTACCTTACAACTTTTACCATCCTTGGTTTCTTGTCTTTTATTTTTGAGAGCAGTACTTTCATTGTTTTACCAGTCTCAATGATGTCCTGAGAGAGAAAAAAAATTAATTATCCTTTGAGTCTGAAAGAAAAAACAGACCATCAGGGGATTAATTTAGAGCATAAAAACCTGGCAGTCTAGTAACATAATTAATTACTGGTTTATATGCAATACACATTAACTTGCAAAACAGGGAGAAAAAAGTCCATGTCATTCCCCTCCTCCTCCCCCCGTTACTTACCTCTACTACTAACACATTCTGGAAGAGATCACATAGGGAGAGAAAGAAAAGAAAATATATATATGGCAACATTCAACAAACTATACAGCCAGCAAAAGCCATTACAAACTTCAGTTAACAGGAAGGTGCAATTGATTTTCACAGGAGCTTATCACTTAATTACTGACATTACTTTAGTGTTTTCTGAAGAGTTTTCTGTAAATATTTATAGAAGCTTAAAATATGGTAAGCAAGCCACCTATGTAAGGTTTTGTATATTCTATGTATAGCACCAGTACTCTAGTGCCACACTGCATGAGTCGGTTTAGTATTGTTCATTTATGGGGGCTGTGGGATCAAATGCGAAATAGGTTCTTTGGAAACATTCAGTACTGACTGCTTTAAGTTTCCCCTGAGCTCAGTGGGCATTACTGGCTGTTTCAAAGTCTGGCATTGTAAATCAGTGGCTGTAAGTATGCAGAATCCACATCTTAATAACTGAAATGAACTTTCTGGAAGATACACAGAACAGTTCTTTCCCCTTAAAGCTACAGATGCTAATTCATACCTTCCCATTTAGTGCAGACAGCTCCTCACCAACAATATTGATTTTTTCAGCAGATGAATCATTCTAGAAGGAGAAAGAAGTAGATTACAAAACATGCTCAGAAGTATGATCATGTACATGTATGAATGGTGTGCTGCTCTTGCTTTTCACAAGAGGAAGGTGTTGAAGACCTGCCCCCGCTTTGTCATGTTGAGTGTTCTGCTATTTGTTCATTCCAGGGAATGTACAATATCCATCTGTTCATTGGGGCAGATCAGTAAATCAGTTCCTTTTCCCTATGTAATCAATTGAATTGCTTTGAACAGAATATATGCATAAACTCAGTTTCTGTGGAGTTTTCATGTGAACTACCAGTACTCAGAATGTCAGAATGCCAAAGAAAAGAAAGTTGCTTACGCCGTGGCTTTTTATTCTGACAAAATCCACAGTAATAGGCACAGATTGATCACCATTTTGATTTAGTGCTTTTATGTGGTCCAGCAAATCAGCAAAGAATTTATAGCCTCCTTTAAGGATACAGAGTGCAACAATGTGATGACTTCCCAGGTCTTGCACAATATCTCTAGCCAAACGTTCTGTCCTGGAAGGAAGACAAAAGAAAACAAATTCTGTCAAGTGTTTTGTTTGTCCATATATTAAGCAATGTCCAATCTAAAATTCTGATCTTGCTGTTAGGTTTATATAATGAGCAAATTGTGACCGCAGCAAGACATAGGAAAGTTAGTTACATATTTGCAGTGCACGAGATGATGCCTAATCCACTTGATATACTTGTTGATTTCATCCATAAGTCTAAACATTGCAGGATAGACAGGCAGAAAGATATTTGAGGTCCCATGGAAACTTAACTGGGGTTGTAGAGGAATCCTCTCCATAACCCCTTCTTGTACTAGACTCTAGGACAGAAGTGTTAGAGCCGCAAGGTTTCCATGTTTCTCATGGGCTGTGCAGGGCAGGACCTCAGTCTTTTCATTTGGAGGGAAATGGATCATTTGCATCACTGTCGCTCTTTGCTGTTTACCCTCATACCTGTCCAAGATGAGACCATGAGGAATGAAGACTCTTTCTATATCTTCTTCATAATGCTTAGGAATGCAAAATAGATTTTTATTGTAGCCTCTTTCTTCGTCTCTTATCTGCAAGTGAAGGGGAAATAGCTCTAAGAGTGACAACAGAGCCATACAGGAAAAAGCTCTCCAGTCTCTGATAATGCAAAGAAATAATTCCACACATGCACACAATGACATGTCAAAATAAAATATTCCTGAGAGTTTTTGATCTTTGTGATAGGACAATTCACACTCTGATAATTCAGGAGCTCCTGTGCTTGTCTGAGGTGTGAATAGATGGACAACGACCTTGCCCCCATCAGTGTAAGAGAACTTCTCGACCATCATCAACTCATTAAAAAACTCACCCAAAACAATAACAGCCCCCGTCTTGTATTCCATTTCCCCTTCTGCAGAGCTCAGCTTGCTCATGTATATTCAAGGAAGAATTAAAAATTTGAGGCAAGAAGGTTGGAATAAAAGGTTAGCAGGTGACTTTGGGGTGCTGCACTAACTTGACCATAATTTTTGCTTGTTTAAAAGAGAAATCTCTCTCCTAAGTGTGAATTCTCAGCCGAACCTTTGACATACCAACCATCAGCTGCCTCAGAGGACAGGGGAGATGACTCAGCCCATAGGAAGAGCTTTGAGATAGTAGTGGGAAGAGGAGAAGCTGCAGAGAGTGCCCGTAAGTGGGAACCAGAGACCTGCTGAGCTGCAGCTCAGCATATTGTGCTGTTTGCCTTTGGACAAGAGATGCTTCATAGCATGGCTGGGGACAGGCCATGGCTTTCCCATAGATCAGGGCCTTAACCCTCTTGCCACCAGGGTTTAGAATTACAGTTCTTTCTTCCGCATGCTGGTTCTAGGCTGGTGCACCTAGAGGTGCACATTCTCCAGTTGGGCTTCTCTTTCACTTGGGCTAGTCTTTTGGCCCTGAACAGATCTGTGCCTTTGTATTCTACCTCTCTTCAAGACCTTAATGGGTCCTTTGATCTTTGTTCATTTATAAAGTGATCGTACAAAAGTAGGTAAGTAAAAACCTAATGAGGTAGAAAGAATAGTGAATAAGAGGGCTGATATGTGATATTTTTAGAAATAAATTAAGGAAAAACTCGTGAGATTTGGTCACATCTAATATTGCCCTCTTATTGTTAAAAATACAGGACTAAGTGAAATAAAAACTCAGAGCTGGCTCAAAGCCTAACTAGTGCAAAATTGGTTATGGACACAGCGTTACCATGCACAGAACTCAGTACAATGCCTTGCTAATACCACAGAGCTGTGGACTAGGCAGTAACAGCATAAAGTATTGCTAACAACAAGTGAACACCTCCAAACTCTTTAGACAGATGAAGTGTTTTTAATTCCCCCTTTTTTTGGCATAGGAAGAAAAGAAAAATGGACTGTAGGGAACAGTGGTAGTTTATTGCTTGCAAAACTCACAGCGGCCGAAAGTGAGATAACCAGTTACTGCCATTTATTTCAAATTGGCTATGAATGGCTTACTGCATTTAAAGACAAAGCTAGAGACAAGTGTTAATTAAACTTTCAGAGAACAGATTGTTACATGGCAGAGCATATACAGTCTCAACCTGGCTGGACTACCTCTTCTGCAAGTACCCAAAGTCGATAGGCCCTAGTGGTTGCAGTTGCACATGCAGGATGGCCTTACGGCTGAGCCCAGGTTGGAGTAGCAGCAGTGATGTTTGGCCTGGTTTAGTTACTATATTCCTTCTGTCTGAAGTCAGTGAAGCTTAAGTGAAGGACTGGTTTTAAAATAAATTTGTTTGTGCCTTATTCATCTTGGAAGAGACACTGGCAGTGACACTGGTGTCAGCTGTGGGCCAGGCAGGACAATAGCATCTAGAGCAGGCTTTAATGCAGTGCAGAGCTGCTTACTGTTTGAGTGCTGTATTAACCAGCTGAAGAGCTTCAAACAGGCTAATTTCTGCAAGGTGAGGTTGCTAATGGTGAATACATAGCATACAGGATTCTGTCAGCAAGAAGCAGTGACAAGAGGACTTAAATAGAAGCACCGGGCAAAGACAATGTTTACTTGGGACTCCTGGAACACACCAAGTAGATAGGGGGGATGGAAACAGGTTCCTGATCGAAGAGGTAAAAGAATGCCCTCCCAACCCCCATCACCTCCGCAGTAACGGGTCCCTGATTGAAGAGGTAAAAGTATCCCCTCCTCCCATCACCTCCCCAGTTGCCCTTATCGAACAGGTATGAGGCTCTGGACTCAGACAGTCAGGCAGAGGACGGTCAAAAGGAAGAGCCATCTGGAGGGCCTCCGGGTTGCTCCCCATCTACTAGATGGATTGCAGCCACAGCTATAAAGACAAAAAAGAGGGGTAGTTGTATTAGGCGACTCTCTTCTGAAGGGAACTGAGGGCCCTATATGCCGACTGGACCCATCCCACAGGGAAGTGCTGTCTACCCAGGGCTTGGGTAAGGGGTATCAGTAGGAGACTCCCTGAGCTCATTCAGCCCTCTGATTACTCTCCACTGCTAGGAGTCCAGGCTGGCAGTGATGACATTAATGAAAGAGGCATCAGGGTAATTGAAAAGGATTTCAAGACACTGGGTAGAAGAGTTAATGGGACAGGGGCACAGCTGGTGTTTGCCTCAGTTTCGGCAATAGCA